TGTGGATGGTAGAGACTGGGTGTTTGTATGAATATTCGTGGTGATTTCCAGGCCCTATATAAGTAAGAATCCACATGAAGAAGGAGCTAGTCCTCCGCCTTTCAATATTTTAATGCTATAATTTATCACCTATCTTCAAACATTGGGGATCTGGACCATCAGACCCATTTGGCATGCCAGAGATGGGCTGGTCCTTTGTCCCTTCACTTTTTACCACCAGATCTCCAATAAAGGGGTGTGAGTATGTAAGTCTGTGAGCATATGCTATGCAAGGAATAGCCTTTAAGATTTCTCTAATACTCTATTATTTGTATTTGCTTATGTGGTTTGGAGCTTTCTTGTCTCTATTAATTGTATTAATAAAGGAGGTTAAGGTTGTGTTTTGCTCTGCATGTGAGTGCCCTTGCCATATACCCCGGGGTTCCCTACAAGATATTGAACTTGTCGATTTTGATTCCGGGCAAGAACCTTAGTATACTCCTCTCATTAGCTGACTACCAATTGGCATTTATTATAGGATCAGGCTACTTTGGGGACAGTCATGGGACTCAAAGTGTGACTTGTGTTAGCTAATAAGTTTGTAAATACTGGCCTAGACCAGCGTTTCTCAAATGCGGCCACCATGGCCGTATATGGCCACCAGGACCTTTTCTTGCAGCCACAGCCTCCTGGGCTGTGATGGGGGCGGGCGGAGGGAGAGGGTGGAGGAGGTGCAAAGCAGTGGCCTCTCTCCCAGGGCTGCTAGCAGCAGTTGGGCCCTGCCCCCCTCCGGAGACAGAAACACTGGGGGTGCAGGCAGCTGGTGAATTCCCACTTTCCCTGCGGGTAGGGGAGGCAGGCTTTGGCCATGGGGCTTCGGGCTCCGTCCACACAGTGGCAGATTCTGATTCAGGCTTTGGCCCCAGACTTACCGTCCCTACCACCCCCACCCGCCCCCCCATTGTCCCTAGCCCTGCTGCTTCCATGCCCAGCTCCACATCCAGGGCTTAATTTGTCCCAGGGCTTGCTGGGGCTGAGTAAGTCTACTGTGAAAAGTGATACAAGTCTTAGGGAAAAAAAGCTAGCAAGTCTTAGGGAAAAAAAGCATAATGGAAAAAGCAAAAGAAACAACAAAAAAGACAAAAACATGCGAAGCACCTTATTTGTGTTTCTATTCTGTTTATGTCCAGTAAAGAATAGAGACAACTGTAAATTATTTTTATTACCGAGTCTGAAAAAACCCTACATAAATAAATTACAATGATTTGGACATGTATATGTGCATATTTCTTTGTTTTTCCTAAAGTTAATGAAATATTTTAGGAAAAATTGTCAGCACGGCCACCAGCCAGAGTTGGTGGCCGCACTCTGAGGCCACCAAAAAATTTGTTATGAGAACCCCTGGCCTAGACAGTCATAAGGACATAAGCATTTGTGGTTTACCATAGTCTGAGGCGTAGTATAAACCATAAATGTTTGTGGGGTACCTAGATTAATGTTTATAACTGTGTAGTTACCTCAAGTTAATTGAGAATAAGTTAAATTAAAACTGCAACAAAAATTATGGTCTAAACATATCTTGTGTCATTTTTCAGGGCATGGGAAAAGTCTTCATGTTGTAATACCGTATTAAAATGTGGTAGCATTTGGTACAACAACATTGCAATGCATTATGGTATGGTAAAGTTGCTCCAAAATTATATGCATGTGAGAACCCATCTTAACTCAGCAACATAATGACTTGAAGAAGGCGTTTGTCACATCTCACAAACTAAGAAAAATGGCAACACTGTGGGGTGTCATTAGAAATGTGTTTGGCTTGAGTAGCACCAGGTAGTGAATGGGCAGCTCCAAATAGAAGAATGGATGAATTCCAAAGAATCCCTTCTGATGGACTAGAACTCACCTTCCCCCAGTGTCTGTAGGGAACTGGGGTCAGGTATGGGTAGAAAGTGTTGTAGTGTGTTAGTCTTAGACCTTGTTTACATGAGAAAGGTATACTGGTTTCTACATCAGTTTAGTTAAGCTGGTGCAGCCCTCTTGTACAAACACTCTGATTTCAGTTAATCTCTTATCTCAATTTAGCCTAATTTGGTAAGGAATCAATTTAAGATACATGGATGTAAACATCTTTGACTGAAATAAGAGCGTCCCCACAAGGGGATTTATTGTTTTAGTTAAATCAATAGTTCTTCTGTCTGCACCCAAGACTTTAGAATACTCAGATTTGCAGCGTTGGGTGCAATCGTAAAGAAACGCACAGGTATGACATGTTCCTTAGAATTGCAAGATTCACCAGATCTGTCTGGCAGTCCTGGGAATTCCAGATTTACTCTCATTTTACTGTTGTTTATGCTATAGAACTTGTTAAATATTAACAAGAGTACAAACAAGCGCTTCAGTGAGTGATTGGTCGGCATTTTAAGAGATGCTTAATGCTGTGGTAAATTGGAAGGACCCCATTTTACAACATAAAATAATAGATGCGGCTCCATCTTCAATTCGAGTGTGTCAGGGGAGCTCCTTTTCCCTTCCTCTTCTATTCAAATCAGAATTCTTTGAAGTTTAATAATGTGGTGCATGTTAACATCTTTAATTTACTGTTTTCTCAGTAGTAAAGTTTGCATATGAGAACTATATCCACAGTATACATTAATCATTCAACTGATGGCTATCTGATAACGATCTTTAACTTTTTAAGCATGCTTAACTGAGAAATAGAAACTCTTCGTGGTTCAGTGGCTTTGGTCTTTTCCCATGGAAAATGTGTTCTGAACTCCTCCTGCCCCAGCCTCCAGTATCTGCATCTAACAGCATCTTGGCAGATTCTGCTGAACTTCAGAATTTCTTCCAGGTCCCCTGTTATATTTGTGTGCTGTTAAAAAATTACCTTTACTTTAAAGAGCATTAAATGATAAGTAGTAGAGTATATACTTTTACTCCAGTAGCTCCTTAAATCCCCATATCCCATGATGACTGCACTCATGTTTAAAGTAAGAATTTTTTTTAAATAGTCCTGTAATTTGAAACAGAATTATAGTTACCACTGTTGCTTCTTTTTGATCAGGGTAAGAATGTACACCCAGGCAACATAAAGTTCCATTCAGTCAGATTTCTAGATGTTATAGCTACAGTTTCTCTTAGTAATGCTGCAGGTTTTCTGATTTATCCTCTTTATTAAAAGTAGGATCATTGAGGATCCAGACCAACATCACACTAAATCAAGATACATTATTTCAAATCCCCATAACGTTGTTAATACTTACTAGGCCTATTATTTTACATCCAAGAATTATTACTATCTTGTAGAGTAAGCTAGTGTTCTAACACAGAGTAATACAGATTCTTGGTACACTCAGCTGTGCTTCCACCACAGAAGGAAGGAAGAAGAAGGAACAATAGGTCAGCCTAGTTGGTTTGTACCGTATAGAAGTAGCATTGCATAATGAGTCATTTAGGAGTTTTCCTGTCAGTGGTGACACAACAATATTTTAGCTGGGTACACAGAATTACTTTAGAGAATCAGCAGTTAAACAGGGTGACTGTTTGTTTATGAAAGTGTACAATTCCCATTTCAAATTAGGCTAAACAGTGAACACTGAGCTGAAGAAAATGGATCGTTACCCAGAGAATTTTTAGTAAACTGAAGATTGAAACAAATCATTAGACCACTTTGGTTCGCCAACTCTTGTTCTCTACTTCCCTTCCCATTATTACTGGTGATTTACCAACATATTGTATTTGAAATAGAAACTTTCTCCTTTCTGACTGGTTACCTCCTGATTCATTCAGTGTTATCAAAATGTATTGTCTGGAACCACAGTGGAAGACCCAGGCAAGAGAGAAAAGAGAGCACTTTTTTCAGGCGCAACATGCTAAGAATTAACAATGCTGTGAAAGGAAATACAGGAAAAACTACAAGATAGTTAAATGGGTTTCCACTCCCACCTCTGTCACTGAACCACTCTGTAACCTTTTGTAAATCACATAATCTTTGTTTCACAGCTTCCCCAACTGTGAAATGCAAACAGGGTAGTCTGGTAGCTACAATACTGGCCTGGAAGTCAGGTGACCTGTGTGACTGTTGGCAAGTCGCTTCATCTCTGTGCCTCAGTTTCCCTTCCTACCTTTTTACAATGGGGCCCTGATCTCAGGTGGAACCGCTAGACCTCTGTAAACAAGTAGTAATAATTCTAAAGCACTTGGAGCCACAGCATTAAATGCTAAGTAGTAGTATATGCTTTTGCTGTAATAACTCCTTAAAACCCCATATCCCATGATAACTGCACTCATTCAGAGAGCTATCTATTTCTCCTGGTGTACTGGTGAAACCACAGACTCTTCCAGTTTTAGATATGAGTGAACTGCAGGGGGAGGGCCATAGGGGGGTTGTTTTTTGTCTTTTTAATTTGTTACTATGAAAGGGATGCGGTCAACTTGACATTGTCAGTTAAAAAAAGGGAGTAGTTTCAGGTACTGCCATTGTTTGAGTTCGTCCATCAGTTTTTACAATCACATTTTCCTATTTTTATAAACATTTTCTCTCCCCTGTTCCAGTGCAAAAAGTCTGCACAAAGGAGGGGGAACTGTATTTAGTATTGTCTAGTATTCATTTAGTATTGCTAAATGCATAAAGTAAACTTACAGAAAAAGTAGAGAAATATTTTTTCTCCTATTTTTCAGTTCCAGTAATTCTACATCTTACATGTAAAAATTTGGTTTGAAAATTTGATATTTTTTTAGATGACAAACTTCCCATAAAATATACGAAGAGCAAGTTTGTATAAGTGAATCGACGTGATGTTGAAAATCCCATTTTGTGGAATCTGGATAAGCTGGTATTTTGCATCTCTGCGGGCAAAAAAATTAATAACTGGACTTGTTTCTAAAGTGGAACTGATTTCTAAGCTTCCTGTATAGTCTAATTGGTAGACTAGAAAAGGGTGTATTTTAATTATGAGAAGAAATTAAATCTAGACGTGAAACAATTTGGATAATATTTTCCGTGTTTGTCTTTTCAGATAATTAAACTCAAAGCAGAGGCTCGTCTTGATCTGCTAAAGCAGATAGGGGTGTCTGTTGATACATGGTTGAAGAGTGCAATGAATCAAGTGATGGAAGAACTGGAAAATGAACGCTGGGCAAGTCTTCCTGCGGTGAACAATAATGGCTCTTCACACCTGGTACTGTCTCCATTTTGTAACCTTGATCTCTTGTTTCCCTTTGAACCTTAGCTAATGTGCATCCTGGACACTGGTACATAGATCACAATTAATGCGGGATAAAACAGGAAGAGAGAAATTTGAGGAAGTGTAGCTGTTTGACAGCTAACGCTAGAAAACTTCAATATAACTTTTATGTACCTTGATTTCCCTATTGGATGTTTTATACCCATCTCACATGGGTGTTCAAGTTTAATCAATGGTGTGTGATACTCTTTGGGATAATTGAATGAAAGGGAGCATTGATAAAATTTAGAAAACACCTAAATGATTTAAGAGCCAAAATCCTATTTTCAAACATGACTGAGGCACTTAATCTCTTAAATTCCACCGACTTTCACTAAGACTTGAACTCCTAAGTGCCTTTAAGTCCCTTTTGAAAGCGGGAGTTGGGCTCCAAAGTCATTAGATGCTTGTGAATATTTTACCATATGTCAATAGTTTAGCTACAAAGCAATTAAATCAGGACAATCCAAAAATACAAGAATAGGTTTGTATAGGCTATAATTAAGGCTACATTTATGTCACGGAGGTCATGGAAGTCACAGAATCCATGACTTCCAGAGACCTCCTTTCAGAGTAACAGCCGTGTTAGTCTGTATTCGCAAAAAGAAAAGGAGGACTTGTGGCACCTTAGAGACTAACCAATTTATTTGAGCATGAGCTTTCGTGAGCTACAGCTCACTTCATCGGATGCATACTGTGGAAACTGCAGAAGACATTATATACACAGAGACCATGAAACAATACCTCCTCCCACCCCACTCTCCTGCTGGTAATAGTCCTTTTGGTATGATGTCCATCTGCTTGACATTCTCTGCTTCAGCCCCAGGGGCTGCAGGACTCTGGAGCTGACAGCCAGTGGGGCCCTGGCAGGGTTCCAGCTACAGGTGACAGAGTCTTGAGGGGGCCCTCCTGAGGGTTCCAGCGACGGGCGACAGCCTCGCCCAAGGGTAAGGGGGACACCTCAGGCGAATGGCTGGGGGTGTCCCATTTTCTCTTTGGGAAATACGGTCACCTGCAGCTCCTAGCCGCCGTGGGCAGAGGGGGAATCCCACAGCTCCCAGCCACCATGGTGTTGGGGGAAACCATGAAGCTGTAGCAGCAAAACTCACAGACAGGTCATGGCTTCCGTGAATTTTTGTTTATTGCCCGTGTCCTGTCCATGACTTTTACTAAAAATAATCATGACAAAATCTTAGCCTTAGCTATAATATACATCAAACTTTCCATTTTTTTATTGTCCACAGTTGTTTACAGAGTAGGCAAAGTAGGCCATAAAACACTTACTTGGATGTTCAACTTTGGAAGAGATTAATTTTTTGATCTAATTCAAGAAGCAGGAAAAGTTAATAATTTTCTTTTCCCTCTCACCCTGCCCAAAGAATAATATGCTTCAAAATAAACACTGATAAAAATTGCCTAAACCAAGAAATCCTATTTAAAAAAACAGAAAGAACTAAAAAAGAGCTTTTAATCTTATTTTTCTTACATGGCATGCAATGCTGAGATGTCACCATTGGCAGTAAAACTAGCCAGTCTGTTGCTCTTCATTGGAAGCAGGCAAAAACAAAATTCCTGTAAGTTTAGTTAGTTTGCCTCAAACAGAATGTCAGATTTTATATATCCCCTTAGCATATGGCAAAGCACATAAAGTTCAAAGGCTTTTACAAACTTGGTCTCAATGGGGGAGGGGGCGCGTGTTAATTGCAGTGGGCAAATGCCTTTGCTATTTATGGTTAAATTCACACTTTATGTTAATGTTTTTGACAACTACTTGGAGTATAAACAAAATCTTTTTGTGGTGGGAGGGTGGATTTGTAGTGTATGGCCTCATGCCTTTGAGGACAGGCTTTCCTTCCCTGGCAGCCCACAAGAAACAGGGCCTGCTCCGCCAGGATGCAGCATTTACACACACCCATCTCCTTACCACCTTTTCCTGGCTCTGTTGTATCTTTACCGTTTTCTTGTCAATGGTCAAGTATTCTGGTAGCAAACCCTCACAGATGAGTCTCTTGTTGGAAATTCAGAACGTTGTGTCTGTATCCACCTAGTTTCTGCACAAGAAGCAGAAATCCAGTGGAAGCCTTCTGAATTCACTCTCTGTGCATTGTGCTTTGTCTTCCAGAAAATAGTGGACTTATACTCCAAACTTTATTCACAGTTATTTATACTACAGGCTATTTACAATCCTTGTTCTCACAACTCTGTCTCTGGGGCAGAGATTCCCAGGGATGGTGTTACAATTAGAGACTCGAGTCTCACAAAATTCAGTGCCAGGTTTTAGACTTGCCAAGGCACAGGAGCGTTCTCATCCGGGTTTTGGTTTAGGCCCTTTCAAGCTATAATAGATGAGAATAGCTACATTGCTATGTTTAACTGTATTTTTTTCCCTTTCTTCTCCTTCTACCCCACCTCCTTCAACTTCCTGTTACAGAAACTGGATTCTTCCCAGTACCCTTCCTCTATCCAATCAGACACACAAACAGTTGGCTCCACATCTAAAGCTAGTGCCAGCCCCTTGCAAGCTGGCAGATGCTACAGCGTGGGAGGATAAAATGTAATTTCCATTTTCCCCCTTTACACATACACGCACCCTTGTGTATAAAGGATTGTATTGACCTTGGCAGGCCAGATGAGGACAGCCCATAGATGGTATTTCTTAAAGCTGTTACAGACATTACTTTGTTTACAATTATAAAAGTTTACTGCTCTGCTTTTCATATGAGATGCACTTTCACTTCACTCCCTAGAAGCAGGCAGTTTTTAATGTTAAGGATTCAACCTTCCACCTGTGCTTTGTCATGCATAGCTGAGCAAAATTTGTGTTCTTTGTGTCTGGTCTTGTGATGAGATCATTTGTTCACCCGAACTCTCAATGAATTGTCTCTTAATAAGTTATAAATAAGAAAATAGCATAGCTGAAATAGCTTGATATCTCAATATTTATTTAACCTGCTAAAAAGATACAATAGTGTAAAAAGCCTAAGGAATCAATGTCACCTCACATAGCCAGCTGTCTGTATTGTGTAATGTAGAAATGCACAGTTTGGGGGCAGAATACTAAATACTAAATAGAATACTAAATGTATTCTACTTAGGTGCCAGCTAAATCTTTTGTCATAATTTAGTGATTTAATGCCACCTGGAAAATGGGTTTGATACTGCTGTTCTGTATTAGTGTAATTGGGGTGATATAGTCTATTTATCCTATGAAAGAGGAAGAGAATGATGCCCGGTTTTGGTAGTCACTCATGACTCTCAACTCCGCTGAGATGGATAATAATCAAAACTAGTGTGCAGTTTAAAAAAAAACAAAACCAGAAAATAAAAACCAACAAACAAGCAAGCATGAGTGTACTTTCCAGGTGTCCGGTTAGCTGTAAACATGGAACTGTGATTGCTTGGATGATTGTAATGGGATAGTATCTTTCACCTTTTAGGTTCAAATTCAGCCCATGTTATCATCTGATAGTTTTTCAGCAGCCTGTGTGAAATGAGTCATGGTCTCAAGCCAGAGGTGCCCACATCACAGTTGCCACTGATGGACACCTTTGCAGTTTCAGCAGAGTTGTCAAAGGAGTGAGTGGATATGAAATCTCAACTCCTCTCACTCCTAGAAGTTGTTCATCCAAGTCAGAATAGAGGTGCATTGATGTGAAAGCTTTTTCTGCTGCTGATGGAGCTCTGTCTGTTCTGAGGATAAATAAAAGACTTCTAGATAGTAATTAAGTCACCAGCACTAAATCTGCCCAAATATATGTGTGTATATAGTTGAGACAAGATAATTAAATTATCTAACATACTGTCATGTAAATGATGCCCTGTTACTTTTTTTTATCTGATTTTATTCTTGTGTTGGGTTCAGTTTGTGTGCCTTTGGTGTTCCTGCTGCTGACATATTTACTGTGTTTACATTGTCATTCATTAGCAGATTTTGTAAAGAACAAAAAGCTATATAAATCAAATCATTAGGGATTCTGTATCTTGAATGTTGTTCCTCCTATTTGTGTTCTAGATCTCTACTTTTCAAATAGATTCTATTCAGGGGATTTTTGAATAGTCACACTGTCAACATTAAAATGTATTTTTCTTCTTTATATTCGAAAACCAGGACCAGATGTTTTATGAACAAGTATTTCGAAACATGATATGCTACTTTCCATGATGTTTCATATGACTCTCAGTTGCAGGTTCAGCAGTGGCTGCTTTGAGGGAGACCAGGCTTAACAAGTGACATTTGTAGGAACTGTGAAGAGCTTGAATTTACCTTAATCTACAAAATGTCAAATTAAAAAAGCCAATGTATTAACTAGATAGAATATTAAATACTTTTTGTCACAGCAGTCTCTGTTAACATTCAGTCAGAATGGATGCAAACTGGACTTCAGTGGAAAGGACCAGTCTAAATTCATATGAATTATGAAGCTATAATCCGGTCAAAATAATTAATACAGTGGATTTAGTTAGTGCACTACCTTGCTTCAAATATGGCTGAGGTAAAATGAGTTGGTTGCTCTCAGGCAAAGCCATAAACATCAGTCTGTATCACAAAATCACCACATCCTATGTCATTCTGCTCAGGCCATGACCAAGATTAGAATAGCAAGGATGTTGCAGGTGTGGCCTGAAGTGTTTTGGCAGAACTGATTTGGGAAGTCTGCACAGTAGCTGTCTGCCCTACACCTGGCTCTTTGCTGTGTGGCCTGCCTTCTTGCTTTCATGAGGGAGCAAAAAATTCACTAAATTAAACAAATTAAAAAGAATAAATAAAAAGTTAAGAATTGTAAAATCTAGCAGTGTTGCCTTTGGTTTTGAAAGATGGTGGTTTTTTTTCATGAGGTAGAATGTTTATCCAGTGTTTAGTCCAGGCACAAAACCAAAGTACAGTGCGTGTCATCACTGCTCAAACTATGTTTTCAGAAACTTGTATTTTTTCCAGCCTATCCCCTTCTGCCTTTATTTAGCTTTTTATAAATACTTTTTATTTTAATTCTTCTTCCCCATCGACCTTTTTTCATATAAACTGTACTGAAAAACTGAAGAGATTACTTTGTCAGCAATACACTTGAAGGAAAGCTGGTGTTTTTGTCTGGTTTTGTTTTTTAAGTTTTAGCACTTCATTCTTAGTGCAGCTTCATTTTGTACCTTAAGGTCATAGGCTCATCGTTCTTTTAACAATGTGGTTCTTCAGTACATTGTTCTTTCACCATTAAACTTTATATGGTAATCTGAAGAATGGCTACTGTACTTTGGACTTGTCACTACTTCAACACCTCCACTTATCAGTACTCTTTTCTAAACGCTTGAGCCCTACATTCCACCAGTGTTCTTACAGTGAAGGTTTAGTGTATGTTTAAAACACAGGTGACTGCTCTTCAATTAAGAGATGCTGTTGAGTCCGACATAAATGTTATTTGATAACTTGCATTCTTTGCTTCCGGATATTTGCTCAAACAGATTACTACTTTCCTGAAGTTATTTGGAGAACAAGTATATTGATTTCTAGTGGTGGCATTTCTCCTTTGGTGTTTTTCCAAGATAGAAACTTAAATTGTAGCACTACTCAGTCACCAGCAGATTTGGAATCTAGAATTTCAAGTAGTTGGAATTACTATAGAACCTAAACCATTCATTTTACTATTGTTTTTTCATCTTTTTTATAATCCAATACAGTTACAAATTAATTTCTCTTAATAGCTTAATGCTGATGCAGAAAGGGAGGAAGGGGAAGAATTTGAAGACAGCATGGATGTTTTTGATGATAGTAGTTCCAGTCCTTCTGGAACTCTACGAAATTATCCACTGACCTGCAAAGTTGTTTATTCATATAAGGTTTGTATTTTTTTAAAATCTCAGTATCTTGTCAGTAGGTGAGTTATCACAGAAACATATAATAAACTTTATAATAATGATGTCTGTGGGAGTTTGCCCGAGGAAGGACCTCAAGAGTTAGCCCAGTAATAATACACATTAAATGAGTAAAGTCATAGCAATACTATAAATGTATTACTGTAAAAGTTAATAAACTTTTAGCAAGCTTAATAAAGTTGTTAACCACATCTAGGCTCCAGTTCAGCAAGGTACTTAGATTCATCTAACTTTAAGTGTGTAGGTAGTCCCATTAACTTCATTGGGCCTACTCACATGCTTAATGTTAGACACATGTATGCAGTCTTTCACATAGTGTCTTTTGTACCAATGAATCACTAAACGTTTTAGTAATAAATTTTACAGAATTAAATAGGCATGAGCACAGTAGGTGTACTGGTCTTGGACAGACTTGCTCTCCTTGACTGAAAAACTCACTTATAAATATCAGTAAGAGAATAGAAAAACCCTTATTAACATGTTTTCAAAGGCTTTAAAAAAAAAGAAAAATCCAGGACATACTTTATATTTTTTTTTTTTAAATTAGTGTAAAAAAATACTGAGGATGACAGTTTCCCTTTAAATTTCTGATTTCTGTGATGGGCACATACCTGGCAAGTAACATTCTTCATTTGTATATGACTTTTGTACATTCCAGGCTTCTCAGCCAGATGAACTGACCATTGAGGAACATGAGGTATTGGAAGTGATTGAAGATGGAGACATGGAAGACTGGGTAAAGGTATAATTTTCCTTGCTCATTTTCCTTCCTTTATAGCATTTTGAAAGGGGACTGGAAGATCTGTTTTTGTTTCTCATTATGGTCTTTTACAGCAGCATGCAAAAACTTAATACATTTTCATCCGATTTACTTACAGGCACGAAATAAAGCAGGCCAAGTGGGTTATGTGCCAGAGAAGTATCTGCAGTTCCCAACATCCAACAGTCTGTTGAGTATGCTGCAATCACTTGCGGCGTTGGATAGTCGGTCACACACCTCAAATAATTCAGCTGAAGCTGAGCTAGTCTCAGGAAGCCTAAATGGAGACTCCAGCGGTAAATACTAATAAATAAAACATGCCTGTCAGTTTTATTCTTGATAATGTTCTTTTGCTCTATATGAATGGTATGCCCGTGGATTGGGGCAGGTATCTCCTTACCCAAGGGCAACCATTCGCATAGTACCCGTGTCCATGTCTAGAATCTACCAGATGTGTCTAGCTATGTCTCTGAAGGCTCTGATTGTCAACATTAGTCACACTAAAGTAAAACTAAAGTCCTTTTCAGTTTAGCAAAGATGTATACTGTGCATTTTTAAAAAATGTAGCTCATTCTGATTACAATCCCTTTCATCTCCCAATCTAGTCTGTTTTGTAAAAGCACTTTATGATTATGAGAGCCAGACGGATGACGAGCTGTCCTTCCCAGAAGGAGCAATCATCCGTATCTTGAACAAGGAGAACCAGGATGATGATGGCTTCTGGGAGGGGGAATTCAATGGTCGTGTTGGGGTTTTCCCCTCTGTGTTAGTGGAAGAACTTACAGCCTCAGAAAATGGAGAGACGCAGTGGACTGGAGATATTCAGGTATGTGAAAAATGAAGCATGGCCTTGGTTTGCTAGTGTTCTGCATTACCACACAGGGGACCCAAGCATTTCTGTATAGTATCCTCTTCTCTCCATTAGTGAAGAGCTTTGACAAGCTCCAGTGTCTTTCTTGTTGGAGGATGGTGGCTACTATAAGGACGTGGGATTCAAAGCAAGGGAAAGGGGAGAGGGCTGCAGGGACCCTCCTCCCCATTCCCTTAAAAAAAAAATTAACTGCTTTCCTTTATTGTGTGACCCAATATAATATTCATCAAATGCTGTATTGTGGCAACCATAAGAGATCTGTGCACAGAATAAAGGGATGGTTAGAGGAGAAGGGAAATGAACCAAGGAGGAAATTCTCAATCTCCTTCCTGTAATTAATTTGTGGAGTAGTTCGAGAGATCAAACAGACCCTGGCAAAAACAATCTTATCAGCTCAGACAATCATATTTTAATGCTTTCGTAACTAAAGCGGTACAATACTTTCACAAAGTTTTAGAGGGCAAAACATTCAGCTGTAGGATTTTAACAAGTACATCCTCAGCTTAGTGCAATATTATGATCTAAAAATAGACACTAATTGATGTTGTATTTAACCAATTTATATCATAATAAAGAATTAACTCTTATTTACAGAAACAGTGTTGCTAGAAATCAGAATTCAGTGCCTTCACCAGAGGGTAATTTATCTAGTGCTTTTTATTGGTTGTCTTTGAGAAGTGACCATATAAATTGACAGGAGAAATAAGTTGTGACAAGCTGCTGGGGATACCCTGAGCTGTGAGACACATGCTATCTCTCTCAGCCTCAGCAGGTGGGAGCTTTGCTGCAGCTATGCAGTGAGACAACAACTCCCGACACACCAGCTTGTCTGCCTTGCCAGCAAACTCCTCAGGGCTCTCCCAGCCCAAACCTTGCCTAGCAGGTAACAGCCAGTGAACTCCAGCCCCTGAGTTCCTCAGAGATGTCTCTCTGCAATGCACAGCCCATACGAGTGTACATTCACAGAACATTTTAAAGGAGCTGCCAACTTAATGAGACAGAAACAGCAGTTTGTTATCTTGACCAGAGTTAACAATCACTTCAGTTCAATCAAAACACACTGGGTTTGTTTAGATAAAAAGTAAAACAAAAAGCTGTTTTAAGTGAGTTCAAGTACAAGGGATAAAGGGCGAAAGGGTTATAAACAAACAAAAGTAAAAATACGCTTTTTAATGGCTAGGATCTATCTTAACAAGCTTTACAGTCTTTGTTCAAAGTAGTTTCCTCACTAATCTTCTTTTTCCAGCAATGGCTGACTAGCTCTCACTCAGGAGCACCACAGGGTCCAAGGCTGTGGTTTTCCTTGTCTGCTCAGATGAAGGATAATTTAGGGGTTCTCTGCCCCCTCTTTATAGTCCAGTAAACCTTTGAAAAATATTTCTCTAAAAGTTCATTGACCCTGCTTCAAGAGGTAGGAAGGCTTCCTGGGAGTGCAGTCTCCCTCCCCTGCTGAGATTAGGTGATCACTTTTTCCCCACTTGCTCTTGTGATGGTTTTGTTTGCCTGGCATACAAATGTGCTTTTCTTTGTCTTTGGTCACACCTTGCTCAATGTACATGGGAGACACATTCAAGTGGACAGAACCATAGTCCTTTGTCTGGAAAAAAATTTTATCAACTCCCCTTGGCATTCCTGGTTTAAACACAGTTTAGTCATAGTTGCAACATATCTGTATAATCCTTTTTTGGTTGTCCATACATCTATAATGCAAGAATATTGATGATCAGTGACACATTACATGACATCTTTTAGATACAGATTATAAGGATAAGTGAGTAGGGGTATACTGAGTTGGTCAACCCAGCCTAAATTCACTGGTAGATACCTGGGAGCCCCTTGCCTTCTGGCACAGGGATGCTCTTAGAGTCAGCTACGACTTATTTCTCCAGATGGAGCCATGCAAGAGCTTGGCAGAATCAGACATAAACATGTCAAAATGCAGGCTGTGTTGCAATTTGGTAGGAGTTGCAGGTTTTATACAAGCAATTTTTTTCCTAGCTTGTGATAGTCATTAAAAAGACAACGGTAATATGTTCTAGACAAATGGGTAATGAAATCCTGCTTTCCTCCATACCACCCCCTGTGCTTGGAACAGTCTCCCAATATTAAAAAGCTCCCTCCTCCTCCTCCTCCTCACCTGTTGCGAGAAGCTTATCAGCAATAATGTTTGTTCACTGCAATGTGCCCACTGTTCTTTCAAATTATAAGCAGTGTGTGGTAGGGTTTAGCATAGCTAAAGAGGATGGCTCTAGACTGTTCTCAATGGTATCAGATGACAGAACGAGGAGTAATGGTCTCAAGCTGCAGTGGGGGAGGTTTAGATTGGATATTAGGAAAAACTTTTTCACTATGAGGGTGGTGAAACACTGGAATGCGTTACCTAGGGAGGTGGTAGAATCTCCTTCCTTAGAGGTTTTTAAGGTCAGGCTTGACAAAGCCCTGGCTGGGATGATTTAACTGGGAATTGGTCCTGCTTTGAGCAGGGGGTGTTGGACTAGATGACCTTCTGGGGTCCCTTCCAACCCTTATATTCTATGATTCTATGATTCTACCTGTTGTAAAGCATCGGATGCCATTACAATGCTATAGAAAACTAACTTCTACTTCTTACTGATGCCTTATTGCAGTAAAGTGCGTGAGTTTCATTATTCCTACTTTTTGTTCCTCTCTGCATTTAAATGACTTACATGCTGTCAAGCAATCATAAAATTCATGATCATGAACATTTTTTGTGGAGGTGTATTTGGCAAGATGTGCTCAGTAGGATGATATGTTTTTAAAACAACCTTCAAACAAAACCTGTCTAGATTACAACTGCTGGGGAAATGAGGAAAAATCTGCTCGGAATGGCCACCTGTGATTTTTTTTTTTTATCACTGTATTATATCCTCTCTCTTCTCCCCAAATACAGCTGATAAGCACTTTTATCTGACAGATACACTGGTATCCCAATTGCTTTCATCTAGTGAGAAGTTGTATCAGTTAGTGAGTATATACCTGTGTATTCATTGAACTTGCTGAAGAATGAATCTCTGCAGCATCTCTTTTCCTCTGTAACACAGATATCCCCAAAGCCTCACAATTCCCTTCCACTCTTGCCGCTGTATGACCAGCCACCGATTAGTCCCTACCATAGTCCTGATAAGAGAGGCTCACAGTACTTCCCTAGGTCACCATCAACTAACGGTAAGAGATTTTTTGCTAGTACAAGAAACGTTATATCCAAATGTTTGTTTTAATTAACATTTCAGATTGCAGTGGAAACATTTTCTTTTCACAATATTCAGCTCGTTCAGTAACACACACAATGTGTTTTTATTGTTCACTCTTTCAGAAAATAGTTTCAGCTCAGATTCTCCTGGATTCTCACAGCCTCCACGACCTGCTCCTGAAGCCTCATATGGCAAACTGCGACCTGTAAGCTTCAAGTGTTGCTGAGTTTAGCGGTGTGGTAATATTATATAAAGTAGGCCAGATCCTCAGATGATACAAATCAGCATAGCGCCATTGAAGCCAGTGGAACTATGTTGATACCCCAGCTGAGAATCTGGGCCACCATATTCTTCACATCCTATTATAAATCCTATCTGTCAGATTAATAAATATGCAAACATATTATCCCCAGAAAAAAAATATCCAAAGGAAGGCTTGTGCACATGTTGTGGAGTGGAACACAGACGTGTCAAAAAGCTACATGATGTGTATGACAGCCAGTTAGATAAGTAAATAGCACAATAAAACAAAGCTGCACCTAGTTACACAATGGGTCATTATGTGTTTAACGATGACCTTGGATCTTATTAATAATTCACTTTCTGCCTTATCTGAGTGTTGATATCTGCCTTCCTAAACTCAGTAGCTGTGCACCTAGATAATTAGACTTTGAATCATGGAAACCAAAATCAGAGGTTTTCAGATCTACAATAATAATAATAAAAAAAAATAGATGCTAGTGTTAATCTTATACTGCTACTTCAAGCACTGGAGGGCTGTTTCCATTTTTCCTTAGCCAGTACTCTCTCTCCACGAGTAATAACCTAGAGTCTGTGCATCAGAGTGTAATATATAAATAATAGCATTAAAAGACTGAAAAGGATAGATGCAGGAGCAGCTCGGTCCTGTACTTTGTACACATGTTTTTCAGAGATTTTGTGTTGCAAACCACAAAAAGTGTTTGGCAGAAAAATCTGTTTGCCAGCAGTCTGTCTCAGCATGTGGCCCTGTAGGCGCCTTTACATCAGGGTTAAGCTCATTTGTAACCCCCCCATGGGTCCTCTGATGAGGAGCTCCTCATACTAAGATCTAATATGTTTTGAGACGTCTGTGCTACCTACAAAGAGATTTTGCCAAACGAGGAAGGAGGGAATTTATTAACTAAAAAATTCAAAATCCATATGTTGGGATTACTTTGAAATCAAGAGATTTGGGGGTTTTAAAGTTATAAATCAAGCCACAGTTAAGTTTAGACAGTCATATTTTCATAGCATTTTTGATGACCAGTGAGGTTACAGACAATAATGTCTTTAGGATTTCCACCCTTCTGTACAATTTAACTTTTTAGCATATGGAATTGTGGCTTCTTGACTATGGTTTTATGCCAGCATTTTCTAAATTGGGTACCTAAATCCATATTGTCAAAGGTAACAAGCACCCACAATTCCAAGTGAGTGGGTTATATGCATAAACCAAATGTGTTGCACAGTTTAGTGGTTTGCCATTATCCACTAGAGACACGGGATCAAAATAGCACTGTCTCATTAAGAACTTCAGTATTTAAGAAACAGATCTTCTCTGACCAGCTTCTTCACATCAACTCACTCCCACTGATAAAATTACTGGGTCTTTCCTATTCCATGTTGTAGATTTTCCGCATCACACTAGTGGGCTGTACTTTTGTTGCACGGCATCTTTGCTGCTGGCAGTCTGCCTGAGACAGCATTGTAGTGTAATGCCTCAGTAAACAAATGTTTTGAAGCAGCATTAAAATTTAAATACCCTTCTTTTAATCAAAATTTGAAGCGAGGTATATTACTGACAGCCAGTCGTAATCTTCCACTTCTCTCCAGCGTTGTGAAGCCATTTTGTGTTCTCTGCAGTTCTTGTTTTACATGGTAGTAATGATATTGAAGCCATTTTGAGAGCATGTGATAAAATGCATTAACGTTTACCATAATGCTCTCAGAAGAGCTGTAGTAAGTTTATTAATGTGGTAGAGAATCAAAAGGACGTGTCGTTGGAGTTAAAAGAACTCCAAAAAAGATAGGATGGTTTCATAAGCTGTCTGTTGAGTCTAAAAGCTCACACACAATATGAAATCAATGAAAAGATACAATTTTTCCTTTTAAAAAAATTACTGTTAAAGCAAAAGTTCATTAAACAACAAAAAAATCTATATTTTAACTAGTAACTGACTAGATATAAGTAAGCTGCTTATTGCAGCAAGAAGTTCTGTTATCCTCACGATCCACGCAAGCTCCATTCTTTTGATCTGTGGTGTCACCTGATCCCTGCAATAGAATTACAAGTTTGTTATTCAAACTGGATTTATTTATTGACTCTGAACCACACTGTAGTACAGAGTGACTATTCCCCGTTGCATGTTTATGGTATCGGGGCTGTTAATCATTCTTGAATAATAAAAGTTTATAATCAAAACAGTGACAGCTGGAACAGTTCTAGGACAGATATCAGTGATGGCCTCATTGCATGGGCCAGATCCTCAGCTGGTTTAAATAGGTGGAGCCTCATTGACTTAAATAGAGGTACACCTGTTGACACCAGCTTGAGGGTCTGGCCCAGTGTTTCTGTTTTTAGTCTACATAAGCCATGGAACTTCACGTATATAGTGTTGTAGCCGTGTTGGTCCCAGAAGTTGATTCAATAAAAGATAGTATCTCACCCACCTTACAAAACTTCATAATAAGTCTTCTGATAGTTACAGGTGTGTGTTGCTCATTTCAGGTACGAGCTGCTCCTCCGCCCCCTACACACCATCACAGGACGACGGAGAAGATGGAGGATGTGGAAATTACTCTGGTATAGTGATTGGACTAGTGAAGTGGTGGTGCTACAATCAAGGCCAAATGTGGTGTTTGGTCAATCTTCTTTTTAGGCACCTTTGCATGATGAAGACTTTTCATAGAGCAAGAAGTGGGGAGGATTATAGGTGGCAGTGACATGGTGGATTCCTTCCCTCAGTCATGAATATTTTGTGCCTTTTTTGTTTTTATATACATCATCCTTCCTCCCTTAGCACAAACCAAGATGGGCCAAACGGTGAGCAGAGGAATGTGTTGGAGCAGGTTTCTCTTTTGGCTACAGATGGTCAGTTTTTATATGGAGGACTAGGAGAGAGCCTCATTCATGCAATTTAGTCACAGCACACTTATACCATGTGCATTAGTACAGTATATTACTGTTGCTGTAGGAACGTGTTAAAGGTTTTCAATTCAGCTAGCATTATGTGTCTGATTAAATAGTAATCAGATTTTATGGAATAAAAAAGGGAACAAAAGAATAGGTTTAAGAAGAGGCTGGCTCCTCTTTCGTCCCCACAAAGAAGGAAAAAAAAGGAAAATAATCTTACAGATAAGGAAAAGTGCTGCAGATCATATGGCATTAATTGCATTAATGCACACCTCTTCGATAATTAAAAAACAGAACAAAATAGTCTTTGTATTAATATTTATGCACTTCATTTAGTAATCGCGTATCTAATCCGGAGGTGCTGAATTAGTAGCAACATCTTGTTCTATAGCATAAACCAACCAGTAGAAAAGTGACGTTTTGTCTAGATCTGGAAATTGAGCTTCATTTTTTTTCTTAGCAGATTTTTTTTTAGTAGATGGGTCACTTTTATCCCAGTTATTGCCGTGTACTTTATTATCAGCATTATCAGTATATCTTTGCCATCAAAACATCTGGCTAGAGTTAGAAGTGTCATTCAGAATACTTACATGCATTATTTAGTGTCCACTTTGGATAGTCCCATTGTATTTCTCCATGCAAAGCCCATTGACTAGCCAAGACCAGAGAACCAGGAAATCCATGGCCTACTCCAGTCCTTCAGAAACCATCTTTAGGGGTGAAAGGAGTAGAGGAGATTAAGAACTTTTATACAAGATACAGGAAGTACAAGGACTTCAAGGGTAATTTCCCACCAGGTTTCTCTAAGAAAGGAACTGTTGATATTTTAGAAAAAATGGGGTGGTTTGTGTTGCAACATGAATAAAAATGGTTAAGGAGAGGAGGGGAGCCCTTCATCCCAGGGGGAAATGGTTGTTTCTCTAAATATGATAATTAAACTGTTTTGAAAATCGCAATACCCAGAGGGTCAAAACTTCAGTGAAAAACCATCGACAAAACATTTAAGAGCTATTATATGGGTTATAATGAATGCACTTTTGTGTATTCCTATTTTTCCTAAGCCAGTAAATTGTCTACATTAAGTTAACTTACAAGGGCCTTTTTTTTGTTTTTGAGGCTGCATTTACGAAATCATTTTACAACATTTTATCATAAACTTTGCACATACTTGTAAATCACAACCCAAGCTGGGTATCTGAAACATTAGTATTTGCCAATCTCTTCTCCCAGTGGGATGTTAGCTAAGAGCAGAGCTGTTTGAAGTAAAATGTCATCGGTCAGTCATGAAATCTGTGACTGTCCATTGAAGATTCTTTTCCATGTTTTTCATTCTTTTGCATCTCTCGTCCTGTTGATCTGTTTGAGGTCTTTTTATGTGTTTATCAAACTTATTCTTAAGTTTACAAAAAAAGTTTTTTAAAAGATTTAACTGTTGGCAAAAAATTTTAAAAGCTTCAAGATGCAGAAGAAAAGCAAGTATTGCCATAATGTTAATGTTCAGTTTTCTTGGCCAGTTTTTCTGTGTCCTTCATACCCGGACTTTCAAAATTCAGAAAGTGTTATATTAAATATCTTTAGTTGTATTTTAAAATATTTTCTGTAAGAGCTGCTAATTTTATTTAAAAAAAATAAAAGTTGTAAAAATATGCCTCCTTTTTAACTATGACTTCTTCATACAGGGCATGTATTCGACGCATCACCATGTACAGTGTCAATACACTGAAAGCATAGGTGCAAATGCTTTCTTTATATTGGCTGTAAAAAGTTTGTATTTATTATGTATAAAATGTTGAATAATAAAAAAGTGAAATTAAACCCATGTGTGTTTCTTGGTACACAGCTCTGTTACAAAAATGGCAAACTCATACAGAAGATTTACTCCAGATTTACACCAGTAACTGAGAGCAGAATTTCACTGATGATATGATGGGAAACATCTTCTCATGCAAGGGATTATTTTGTTTCTTGGTTTATTTTTAATCTGTCACTCTCTTACCAAGACATTTAAGTCCTGGTTCAGCAAAGCACTTGCATGTGTGCTTAAATCCATCTCTATTCAGCAGAACACACAAGCTTAAAGTTAAATGACTTCATAGGGATTTAAGAATATGCTTAAGTGCTTTGCTGAATAGGGATGGATTTAGGCACATGTGTAACTTTTAAGTGCTTTAGTTAATCAAGGCCTTATAGGATAGCCACACTTCTGGCCAGACTTGGCCCAAAACCATTAAAAATCAGCCCGTCCCTTCCCATTCTTACTTGCTAAGCCCTGATACCTGGGTTATTTACCCCTGCAGCAGCTGATAGCATCGCTAGTTCCTAAAGCAGCATAAAGAATGCTGCTCCTTCCAGCCCAGGGCGTTAGTGATAACATCTACTGTTGCAGGTGAAACATTGGGCCTGGATCTTAGGAAGTAATGTGTCTGTCAGTTCATCTGTCAACTAACAAATTCTGGCGCCATTCCCATCAGGTATTGAGCACTTTGCCAGAACTAGGCCATTGTTCCCAGAACTAGACTGATATCACTGATCCTTAGATAAATAAGCAGGTGAACAATTCTTTGCTCAGCTGGTGCTCATTCCATAAGACACATAGTGGGAGAAATCAGCAATTTGCCAAATGTTGAAGAACAAAACTGCTAAGAAATGTTATGTTTGCTTTCAAGCTTCTGAAAGAGTATTAATGTACCAAGAGTGGTGAGTCAGTAAAAAAAAAAATTCTATTAAAATGATCGCTGGGTGTCCTTTATCAGGAGAGAAAGTGTTACAACTATTGTCAAATACATTTGTCCTGTAATAGAATGACATGGTGTATATGTTTGTGAGAACAGTATAAATTCCTCTCTACCACAGCCCTGTCCTCATCTTTTGGATTTCTCTATGCCATAAGAATAGCCATACTGGGCAGACCAATGGTCCATTTAGGCCAGTGTCCTGTCTTTGACAATGGCCAATGCCAGGTGCTTCAGAGGGAATGAACAGAACAGGCAATCATCAAGTGATCCATCCTCTGTCCATCCCCTGTCGTACACTCCCAGCTTCTGTCAAACAGAGGGGCTAGGGACACTGAGAGCATGGGCTTGCATCCCTGCCCATCCTGGCTAGCCAGGATGCGGGTAGTCTTGGTGATGTTTTCTGATGGAACTAAGAAGTCATTCCAAGTGTCTTGCTTTGCTAAGTACAACTGTTCTCAAAGATGGCACCCTTGTTGCACTGGGAACTAAATTATACAAAGAAAACCACATTTTGATTTGATTCTTGACTTTTTAAAGCTCTTTGATTGCGACGGTCGGACTGTCATTTGCTGGGATTGCACAGCACCTAGTGCCATGGAGCTCTGACCTGGTTGGCCCCTAGACACTGCTGCAATATAAATGTTTAAATATTGAAGATCTGGCCTTTCTTCTCTGTCCACACAGCTAACACTCGTATCCAGGCCTTTCAACTATGGCAGCCTCCCCCTCCTCAGGCCTTGACAAGTCCCATTGTGCCCCACTTAACATCCATTCAAAACGCTGTTGCAAAGATCATTTCATTGGCCACGTCACCCTCCCTTTCCATCCCTCCATTGGCTCCCCCTTTCCCACTGTATCGAACACAAACTACTCACCTTCACTTTTAAGGCCCTTTTGCGTGGCCTGTCATCTCTTGGGTGCTATTAAGCTGTCAGTTCCTGACTCTGCGTCACCAATGATGCCCGCCTTAATAACCCCTTTTGTTACATTTTTAACCAGCACTTTGATGCTTTGTCTTGTGCTGCCTCTTCATGTCTGGAAAGAGCTTCCCCCTGAACATCTGCAAAGCCACATAATTGTCCTTCTTCAAGTCCCTCCTCAAAGCTCTCCTCTGTCATGGTGCATACAAAAAACTTAAGAGTGAGGCACCATCTGCGTGCAGCCCCCTTACATCTCATTACTCAGAGTGCAAGCTCTTTGTGTTCTGTGTTTGTACAGTGCCTAGCACAATGAATCCCTGATCCATGACCGGGAACCATAAGAATTAGCATAATACAAAAAACGTTATTTTTAATTGACTTCATGAACAGTAACTTCTAAAAAAAGAAAAGGAGAACTTGTGGCACCTTAGTGCCACAAGTCCTCCTTTTCTTTTTGCGAATACAGACTAACACGGCTGTTACTCTGAAACCAGTAACTTCTAAATAAAATCTCCCTTCTTTATTCCTCATTTCCTTTCATTCTCCCCAAGACAGGCATATTTCTCAAGAGCTTTTGCTTTGTGAATAGGATTGTTTGTGCACTGAATTTTTTGATAGTGCATTTAATTTGTAACAATAATTTACATTCAGACAGATCTCTTCGTCCCAAAGTGCTTTACAGAGTGAATTGCTAGCTCTTGGAAATGAAAGTGAGAAGCAGCTGCTGTTTCAGGGCACACCGCAGTCAAGAGCAAGCAGTGTGGTGAGTGGAAAGAGACGAAACCAGGTTAAATAAGGAACAACTGTGGAATATGCTGCTGGGGAAATGTAGGTAGGCAGAATATGGAATTTAGTAAAGATGAAGGGCGAAATCTGGCCTCATTGAAGTCTGTGGCAAAAACTCCCATTGGCTTCAGGAAGGCTAGGATTCTACCCAATGAGTCTGACAGGTCTAATCTTACATGAGATTGTTACCGGCCATAAGTGACCTGGGTGTTGCTGTGTAGCAAACAACGTCATAACTCGCTGAGTTGAATTGTGCTGGGGTTTATTCTTGGTTTTCATAACATGGAAGTGTTGCTTAACAAAACTCCGGACAGATGGGTCTGTTCTCTCCTCCCTCAGGGCTTAGATCTCTGGCTGGCTTAGGGGGGTCTCACTCTTCTCTGCATGTGAGTAACCTGCATTGGGGACTGGATGCTCTGTGGGCACTCCCAGCATTGGCCTGCAGATCTCGGTGGGTGTGCTGGAGGCCAAGGCTATCCACATGGAGGCCCTTACTCAGGACCAAGAGGAATCTGTATAAGAGGATGATGACTTATTCAGTCTTAAGTGAGTTGCCAGCAAGCCTGGGGGAGAAGGATGCTATGGAGAATGTCAGTCCCAGGACTTCCCCCCTTCCCCCCCCCCCCCCGCCATCTGTAGGTCTGGCTTCCTGAAGAAAGACTACTGTGGAGACAGAGGAAGCATGCTCTTCCCCCACTTCTGTGCCCCCAGCCAGATGTGTTTCTGCTCTTCCATGCCCCCCAGCTAGCCCCCTGTGTATCAGCTCCTCTCCACTCAACTGGGAGGGGCCAGGGAAGGTGTTTTGTCCTTAGTCTGGGATGAGCAAGGAGGTTGCAGAAAGATTGATTGGAGTTTAAAAAAAATCCCCAACCTGAATTCAGGGCCACAAACAAGCCACTAAAGCAAATTCAGCTAGAAAAATGTTGACGTGCTTAGTATTGCAAGTAGCTTCATACTCAAAGCATTACCCAGGGGGACTGAGAATTACAAATGTGATTGAAGGTTCATGGGAGTGAGTGAGCCTCTGCATTGCAGAAGTGAAGGTCATTTTTACCGGAAGATAAAAGCGCTGCAGTGATTCCAGCTCTGAACCGGGTAAGGTAAGTAAAATCTGCCGTCTTCAATTACCAGGGCTGGATTGGAATAGACAACTGGCATCTGCAGTGAACAGCCACCTCTCTCTTTTCACAGTGCTACTTGGCAATGAAATGGCGGTGGTCACTCTGTGCAAGTACAGTAGCCCACCACTGAAATCTATCTCCTGGGGTGGAACACGAGTGTTTGACAGTAGACAGCAGCATCAGTTTAGTATAGAAAGTGAAGAATGCTGTCTGCAGTTGAAGCTGCAGGGGGACCCATACTACCGTTGAACACATTGAAATTTGGTCAAAATCCCAGAGGGATAACACTTACAAAAATGCTCTGGGATCTTAACGATTGGTAGCAGTATGAGCCTTGGTTTTCTCTCTTATGAGTGTTGCAATGTCTAGCAGCACAGCGCCCCTAACGCCACTCTGGAGCATAAAATCAGGGCGGCTCAGTCTCCGGGAAAAGAGTATTTCTTAGGACTACTTCCTGCATACAGAACCCTGGATTTTCCTGGGAGGTTTTTCATCTAAGTGCTACAGTTTGACCCGGCTTTGTGTATGAGATCTAATGAGATCCTGGCCTGAACAAGAGAGAAGTGAGCTGATCCGTGATTGATTTAGATTCTTATCCCATTCTCTACTCCTTCCTCAGAGCTTATTTCTTTAAAGAAGAGGTCTTTAAATGGACCCAGAAACCTTACTGAAGTGAAACTGGACTGAGCTTTCCCCAGTGATGTCTCTGGTTTACAGGGGTGCTTCAGTTGAGCTCCAGCTGTTCAACATCTCTTAAATCTCCTACAAGTGACAGGTGAGGAAGTTGTCTCCTTGCCAGCTGTTTGGATACGTCAGTGTGGACTCCCTGCAGGCTCAGAGGTCTGACTGTGAGATCAGGGCTTCAGCATGCATGCTCTTCAAGGCAGGTACTGTGTCCCTTAATCATCTCTGAAGGGTCATGTACATGCTTGGCACTGTATATACAGGGTAAACACATCATAAAAAGATGTATCTAATCCATCAGAAAGCCATACACCAGTGGGACTGGATTGCTCATGGTTTTGCTAATGGACTATGAAACCTTTTCCTTCTAGGTTACGAGTTCAAATGTGGCCCAAGTCATCAGTGAATGGAAGTCATTTCAATCTGACTGCATTGGTCGCCTGTGTAAAATTTATCCACAGACCCATTTTTCCCTTCCCATTTCAGAATTGTTCCCTACAATATATTTCCCACTACTCTAGCCAGTCTTAAATGTGTCCAGCGATAGGGCTTCCGCCACTTTGCTTAGA